ACTACTACTACTACTACTACTACTACTACTACTACTACTACTACTAACAATAATAATAATAATAATAATAATGAATGGTAGTAACAGATGAAACTGGAATGTTATTAAAATCACTTTAGAAAGGAGTATTTAGGTGGTGTTCATAAACATTCAGCACAGAATTGCAAGCGGTGGTCATTGCAGCAATAGCACATATAAAATTGAAGATAGGAGGGTAGTACTTATGCATAATTCAATTTCAGATGTATAATTCATGAAGTTATTTTGCAATAAAACACAGGGGAAAAGGTCTGTTTTTGAGTCGGGAACTGAATATTCTTAAATATGGTATGCAGATCAAAATTAATTCACTTGCTGACTGAAGGTCAGTTACAAAATAAATCGAGTAAAAGAAAAAAACAAAAGACAAAACAAGGCAATTTGTCACTAAAAATAGTAATAATGGCATAAATTTACTTTTAATGCGAGAAATAAAAAATATTCATACCGAATACAAATAAAATTTTAGTAATTCTGAAATTACCACTGTAAAATATGATTCAACCAGACAACTTTTTATTTAAAAATATGACTGTTTCTATAAAAGTATTAGTTGTTGATGCAGAAGGATGATTTTTATCTGAAGCTCAGACATTAGAAACAGAAAATTTTCTGATATTCAGAGCAGGAACTTGAAGACTAACAGGTACATAATGGGAAGCATAGAATTTAGAACCAAAGTAAATTTGAAAATGGAACAGTGAAAGAGGCGATATCTCCTTTCACGTAAGCTGATAATTTTGTATGCTCCAGAACATTAGCATAACTGTAATGGACATGAGGAACTGATCTTGGATGCGTTCCAGCTTGTTGTGAAGATAGACGCGGACTCGACACAGGAGAGGCGTACTGACGCTCACATCTACGTAATACGGGCAGTCACGGGCAGACACGGAAAAGAACTTATGTCGAATTAGTCCCAACAATTCAACATGGTGAGATAATATATTGTCAAGCTTTCGAGGAATGATAAACGGAGTTTGGATTGGTAACTTAATTTAATGGACATTTTAATACAATTCGTGACTAAACTTTAAAAATCACTTCTGCATTTAAGCATCCTGTTGCATTATTATATCTAAAACTTTCTATGTTTAAAGGAAAACAAATTTTGTTTCAATATTTTAGTAGGTTTTATTTGATTTAAAATAAGTGAACTACAGCGTGTGCTACACGTACTTTAGTGCATACCAACTAGACCACAACTATGACGATTTGAATCATGAAGCATGCAGCTGCATACGTAAGGAATGGATAATGTTAGTTAGTGTAGCAGTTTTAACATAGTAAGGTACCTGAGGGCCGAAATATGTTGTGTCGAAAGTGAAAGTGAGAGAAAGAAGGAACAATTTGTTGCATTGTTGACGGACCGTGTAGTACATAAACAGTTCTGGATTTAGAAATTACTCTCACACGTAGACTAGTGTTCTCAGTCACATTGCTTGGTAACGGCTTCCAGCGGCGGGCTTTCCTCTGCTTCCGGGCTCACGTCCTTGCAGAGTGGCGACCATCTTACGCCAGCTTCATACTCTGACTACTGGCTCCAGCTGGTACTTCCTTCAGCTGCTAGCTACTGGGTTGAAGTGACTAGCTTACAGCTGCGAACATCCATCTTCAACTGCAGAGTTCTCGACTGACTTCCGAGTCAGAGTAAGAGTTACTTTACGACTGGCGATTTACCGCCGACCAGTTCGTCTTGGCGACAAGCCCCTTGAGGATCACAACAAGGTTTCTTTTTCAGGCGAACCCTTGCGGTCATATTCCTCATGTGGCATCCTCTCTGACGAGAGGATGGGTTGTCAAAGTCAAAGTCAAACTTAAAGTCACATTGCGACTGACGGTCCGTCAGTCAGTCAGTAAATCTTGGTGTAGAGCCCAATCTGGGACTCATGACCAGATATTAATTATTACCATTTGGCAGTTACGGTCTTATTTTTGTGGGGCGCTCTCTCTGCTGAGAGTACGGGTCTGTTTTTCCATACGCTGCTGGCTCTTCCCAGCGACCATATTTTAAGACTTTCCTTTTCGTCGTCTCCTACGACTCGCAGGGTCACGGTGGAGGTATTCGACCCCGCCTCCACACGTTTTTTTGTCTCGTCCGGGTCCCTTTATATGCCCTTGACTCAAGACAGCATAGAAAACAGTTTTCAACAGATCCTCTATTATTGTGTGCGTACCTTGCTTGAGGACGGCTCTGGTATTATTGCATGTTCACGTAACGGTTGCCTAGTAATGGCTATTTCTCTGGTTCCATTATTCTAGCTGTCAGGCTTCATGTCACAATATGTTCAACGTAATTATGAATATGATAACAACAATAAATTGATAATAATGATAATAAGTTTATCTGCTTTTTATGGGTACTCGTCACAGTAAGGGAAGAGAGTAGCTTTATATAGCTCATTCCTCTTATCTGAGAGCTTCTTGGTTCAAATCTAGGCTGGGATAACGATTATTCTCTCTGATATTTTTCTGCCTTTTCTTCTTCGGTACAGAAATATTTCGGTATAGTACCTCAAACTTGTGCCACGACCACTTCCTTCTACATACTATTTAAAAAATAAGGAAAGTAGGCTAAAAGTAGGCTTATGCAATCATCATGTTGTCTGTATATCCTCTCATAAACTTTTGAATGGCTGAAATAACCTTAATGAGGCTTAGTACGTCTATCATGGCACCTGAGCCCATCTTAACGGCGCGTTTCATAAGTCCCTCCTATATCTGTGGCTACGTGTGCATCCCCCGTACCGTTCCTAGGCAATGGAGCGATCAAACGTTGCTGCTGCAACGAATACATACTCAACAATAGGCGAATTGTTGGATGCGCCGTTTTCTATGCGGCTCGTGTGTTATCAAAAGAAAGCGGGAGATTAGCTCTTCCCTTAACTTATTATTTTTTGTTTATTTTCTGAAGTATCTCGTCATAGATTTGAAACAGGCACCTCCGTAATACAAGGGCGTTGCCTTATCGCTATGCACACCTGTTCAAAATATGCATGTAATATTTTTATAAACAATATTACTTCTTACTAGGAATAATACGAGAAAAAGTTCTGTGACTTGCAAGAAGAGCCCTTAGAGAAATATGCCCTTCTGAATTTGTACAGTTGGCAGGATGAATGGATGACTACTGAGAGTCATTTGCAGGCGAGTTCGAAGAGTGCATAACGTCACTCATGTTCTCGCTGTGATGAACTTTCAATGGAGGACGCTCTGGGTTTCAGCTTGTCCGGGGATCCCCAAGTTTGCTCCCAAATGCAAGCGAGAAGATCACAATAGCGAGAGGCGATACTGGCTAGCTTCGCTTACCGATAGGTAGAGTGAATGATGTATCTGCCGTCACACAGGTTCCAGCCAGTTCTTCAGGTCATGGTTTATGTGAGGTTATTTTAAGAATGACGCAAAAGGCAGGCATTTATTCTGTGAGACAGCTTCTTAAATATGATTTTATATGATCATTAAGATATATCAGTGAGCCGGGATAGCATAGTCGGTATAGCGACTGGCTACGGGTTAAACGACCGAGGGATCAGAGTTCGAGTCCCAATAGGGCCAAGAATTTTCTCTTCTCCACGACGTCCAGACAAACTCTGCGGCCCACCCAGTCTCCTATCCAATGGGTACTGGAGGCTATTTCCCCGGTGTAAAGCGGCTGGTACATGATGCTGACCACTCACCTCCAGTTAGTGCCGAGGTCATGAAAATGAGGATCTATACATCCACTCCACTATACGCCTTCATGGCGTAGTGCTTAATTAGTTAAGCACAGGGACATTACCTTTTTTATTAAGTTACATAGAAAAGAAAAAAAAACATTTTCTGTATCTGTGTTTCTCTGGCAGCCACAGTTTTATGTATTTTGGATTGAAATTCAGAGTAAGAAGAAAACAAGAAATCATTTATGATAGAGTCATATATTAAATTAACATGTGGCTTCAGATTCTAACACAGATAAATATTATAATCTCCACTGCTAGGTTATTTCAATCAATGCCAATGGTTTGCTATCACGGATTTAGTCGAAGTTACAACATCAATGTAATTAGGGACTGCATAGCCAGGTTCCTTTTTTTTTTTTAATTCGCTTAGTGAGGGTTGGAGTCCAGTTGGGTCCATTCGGCCACTGATTGGCCTATTGTACCTGCCCCGGGTGATTATGATGATGGAGAATTTGGTGGAATGAAAATTTACAGGGGAAACCGAAGTACTCGGAGAGAAACCCGCCTCAGCGCCACTTTATCCACCACAAATCCCACTTGACCAGACCCGGGATAGAACCCGGGCCGCCGCGGTCAGAAGCCGGCGACTAACAGCTTGAGCTATGGCGCGGCCTTGCTAGGTTACGTTAATGATAAATGTTTCCATTCGCAACATTTATTGAGCAGAATCTTTTGGATTAGCTAATAATCGCTCAGCTGGTCAAGAAAATCTATCTCTATTGTGGAACCCGATAATTCATTACAATTTCCTCAAGAGTCATGAATCATTTTATGTCTTAAACCCAATTAATCCAGTACACAAACTCTCACACTTTACCTTTAAATTTCATAATACCAGTATCCTTCTATTTTTTGCCTAGGACTTCCAAATGATTTCTTTCCTTCAGATTTACTGACAGAAATTTTGTATAGAATTCTCATTAACACCATTCGTGCTACATGCTCTATAAATAATATTTTTCTTAATCTGATGATTCTAATAAGAACCCATAGACGAAGAATATAAATTATGGGGCAATTCATGCGAAGTTTATCACTTCTGCGTCATACTGGTTCCTCTGAGAGATGATACTTTACATGCAATCAAACCAACCATGAATATTTCCATTTGTAAATATAATGTAGGAGCTTCATAATTTGTACTCTTCGTCAAGTACAATTAAAATGATCAAGTCAATGAGGATGAGGTGGGCAGGGCATGCAAGACGAATGTGGAGAGAAGAAATGCATATAGGAAATTGGTTGGAAAGCCGGAAGGAAGGAGACCACTGGGAGAACAAGGCAAAGGTGGGTGGACAATATTGAAATGGATCTCAGAGAGATATGATGGGATGGTATGGATTGGGTTGATGTGGCTCGAGATAGGGACCGCTGGAGGGCTCTTGTGAACACGGTAATGAACCTTCGTGTTCCATAAAATTCTGGGAAGTTCCTGAGTAGCTACACAAATGGCGGCTTCTCAAGAAGGGCTCAGCTCCATGAGTAAGTGAATAAGCGAATGAATAGTACCTCTTCTAGAGTCTGTTGAATTGTTCGGTTAGTGAAGAATGAAACAAGGAGCGGTCTGTTGCGGTTACAGTTGAAAGTCTGGTCTATCATGCGGGTAGGAATGACCGCTGTCGAGACGCCCCGACTGTTGACAGACCTCTTAAGCCTCATCAGCTTCACTAGGTCACGACCGTCTGTAACACACATTTCCATACAGCAGACACGGCTATCAATATATCAGGAAATTTGTGTCAGAAATTCAATTTTTTTATTGCAAAAAGTATGAAGAAAGGAAAATATTAAATGCTTAACACTAGAACATGATATCGAAACCTGGGGAGAGGAAATGCATTAAACAAATGCAATCCAGAGACTAGTCACGTTATTTTTTTTAAATCTAACAGCAGTTGGATGGCTTAATAATATCGGGGCATTAAGCACAGGTATTTTTGGCTCACACTTAACGTAGGAAAAGTAAAGCTATCCCTGTAAGAGGCCGTGGAGTCTCATAGTGTTGTAAGACATGGAGGCTCCCAAATTTTTGTACTTCTTTTGTCTTATTTTGGACTTCATCCATCGTCTGGTATGTAAAAGACAAAAGACCACGACGTTTCTGAGATTGGATCTGTCTCCGTTTTCAGGTGGGTAGGGAAGGATAAACCTACTCGGTTGGGCCCATTAGAAAGAGCTAGTCTCAATCACTGGACCATCGTCAGAATCCTTTCAAGTTTATCTCCCACATTTTGTAGACAATCGGCTCACAGATGGCGGTGAGGTTGTCAGCCTTATGCGCCGGCCGCTCTTTACCCCAGTAAGATTCCTGGTACTCCTTCTTTTAGAGGCTGAGACGACCCCAGGGCCATAGTGCGGCTGAAAGGTTTAGGTCAGTTGAAAAATACAGTGACTTTATCGAGAATCGAACCCTCGATTTTCCGGCTTGTAGCAACTACGATACGGCGTGCCAGTAATTTTTTTAAACCTTGAGTTGTATCAATTCGGAAGGACTCTGAACATGGCAGATTGCACTTAGAAGTACAAAAATTTAGATTTCATCCATTATCCGGTATTCCGAACATATCTCAGCATTTCAGACACTGGGACTTTTGACTCGGACCCAACCAAGAATGCGACTCCATACAGTTTTCAGTTACGTTCCTATATTATGTGATAGAATCTGTGGATATAGTAAATTTCGGTGGCTTATATTTAATACTTAGCTATCTCTAGGGAATTGTTAGAATACATATTTCTGCTAAAATGCCCTTAATTAAGGACCACTCCTTGAAGATACACAGGTTGCAACTGAAATTTTCGGATAATTTCGGTGAAGATTTCCACATACCACACAAGAAAAATGTTCATGTCAATATGTGTCTGGAAACGTTATTTTTCGAGTTATAGGTGAAAGAATGCATGATGGTGATCCGGCATATATTAGCTTTAGTTGTACATTTTTATTGAGAACGAAATAAATATCTTGTCACATGTAAAAGTGAGTGTAGACGGGGTTTTGATTGGTAATTGGATTTATTGGAGACTTAACAGATCGTAACTACACATAACTAAGGGGCTATCGCTCTTTCACAGAGTCAGCAGTTCCTTAGAGCATATACTAAGTGATCTCAGTCTCCTGTCTTCGTCACTCGTTGTCTGGTAACGCCTTCCAACTTGATAGATCCAACAGTTTCCGTATTCACATCCTTATTCGTCGGCGATTCTCTCACAACTAACTAAATACTAGGCTTTTCCTGCTTAAAACACCTCGATACGGACAGCATGGAAAACACCTCTCAACAGCTCTTGCATTGTTGCATCACGTAACTGTCGCAAGGACCGCGTAGAGAATATTGCATCCCAATTACTAACTTGATGCGTGAGGTCATTATCTAACAATGACCGTTGTTTGCAGAGTCATTACTTAACAACTGCTCTACAAGGTACAGTATATATCGTATTGTAACGTGTATAGCCAGGCAACGGTGGGATAAACACCTCGTTTAAGGTCACGCAACAGTAGGATGAATGTTTATAGTTCGTTGCTGGGCAACTGTTAGCGCACCAATGTACTGGCGAAATAGTTATCATGTGACTTCTTTTCTGCGCGGTCTGCGCTACGCAACAATAGAACTGCGTTTTCTGTGCGTGTTCCATGCCGAGAAGATGTGAGAGAATACGGGAATGGGAATTGGCTTCACTTGAGTTCCGAAATTCCAAGGGAACAGCAATGTGGCCAGAAAAATTAGTTCACATGTTCTATAGTTACAGTAATATTGAGAGTGTAAAAACTAATTGCAGTTACGACTAGTGAAGATCAAATATACTGATTCATCAATTCAAACCCTCGTCTTAGCTACTGAAATACGCGATAATGCTTGTATTGTAGTACAATAATTGTGATGATCAGTTCCATTATTTCTAGAAGCGTTTTTTCATAAAAAGGAAAATTATGACTGGTTGTAATACCGACTGGCAATACATATTTGAAGTTCAGGAGTTATATGCCTACGTATGTATATCAGATGAAGGAAATAGGAAAAACTCGTAATTATTTTCGTGAAAATGACAACAGTACGCATCTTCAAAGGGATATCGATCTGTGTGTTGAATGTAGGGCGAGATAAGCAACGGAACGGAAGCGAAATCTGCATCTAGAGCAGAAAGGCCCCTCGTTATTTATAACAAGGAGATAAGCTATCTTAATCTGGGATTTCAAAAACATTTCTATGAGTTTCTTTCTAGTCCATCATTTTCTGTTCTTTCGACAGAAAAACAGGCAAATATCATGGGTGGAAAAATTGTTTTGAGTATTTACTGTCAAATTACAGACTCCCCTCAGCTACCATTTTGTTTTTTCAAATACAGAGCCTTCACCAGGACGTAATATTTCATGAGTTATTTTTTTTTTTACAAAATTTGCTAAGTATTTTAACTTACCATATTAATTTCTAACTAACCAATTAATTCTAAAGAGCAGAACTCTTCTTGAAAAACTAATAACTGTTACACCAACTCAAAAATTCCTTTGACGTTTATGGAACCCAAATGCTTCCTACCACACAGGACCACACAGGCAAAGAACAAATGTAGGCACAGATCCATATAGCGAGTGGGATTCGAACCCAAGATCTCAGTTCTTCAGCGGGTGAAGACATTTCATGACTTAGACCGGGAGGTCAGGCAGATGATGTAACTTTTTCATGTTTTCCTTACAAAGAGTGTACAAAAATAACGCCGTCTCTCTAATAAAGTGTACTATTTCAAGTTGTCTGAAATATAATTATGACTAGATTTTGAAGGGTTCTGACGATTGTGTATAACACTCAGAATCACTGGATTTTTGAACTTTGTTCATCATCCGGTATTCTAGAAACTTCATATTTTCTAGATTTTAGAACACCGAAAGATGAATAAAGTCGAAAAACCCAGTGATTGTTGAAGGCGTCATTTTTTATGTAGTCCGTGTCATATGAAAGGAAAGTAGGCTATTTGTTCTTCCCCGAGCTTCTTGTTATGTATCATGGCTACACTAAAGCTTCGTCAGACAGTTTTCATCATCATCTTTTGGTGTTAGGTCTTCTAACCTGTTTCGTATCAGAATTAATCTAGAACTATGGCTCTTGTAAACAGTTGGTAGGGCTCTTTGGACTGGGGATCAGGTCTTGCAAGACCGCTACCTGCACACAGAACAACACAAACACAGAATAAACGCACACAGATATCCATGGCTCGAGTTGGATTCGGACTCACGTTCCCAGTATTTAGACGGACAAAAGCATTTCATGCCTTAGACCGTGTGGACACTTGATCGGCAACGTACAGTATAAAGAGGAAAAATATTATATTGTATATTATATATATATATTATGTATATTATATATATTATATATATGTTGAAAGACAGCGTAATGCTTTTCTTAGACAATGTGACGACCATTGCTTTATTAGTATGGAGCTTCGTAATTTTTGCCGTTAACAAATTTTGTGCAGAGTTAATATCTGACTGCATACCCAAGCGTCATCTCTCGAAGTGATACGGGAAAAAATTTTTAATATGTATGTCACGTGTTGGGTATGTCACGCGAGAAATAACTTTACGTAGGTCTCGGATTTAGCGAATCTTTATTGGACTTCACTCTTACAATTATCACTTGCAATGTCACTTGACTCCTGGCCTAATACTTCAATACTCGATATTCTAATACTCAATCTTCAATACGTGTCGTAAGCTCGGCTTATATAGGTGTTCTGCGGACACCATTTCTCACTCTTTCGTTTCTACTGTCCGCTGTTACGTAACTGGCGCAACGAACTTTCTGTAGTTTATTTCTAGGGGGACGCGTTCGTTGCTTCTGCATTGTCTACGCAACGGCTCCCTGTTCTTTGTGTTACCATGGACGTGCTTATTCCAAACTCACGTGTTCGGCAACCCCTTGCCTCGGGAACGCTCCTTCGCGACGGTCTGTTTGTATTCTATTTGTCGCTGTTGGAACTCAACAGCTTCCATTGTAGCCGCTGAGCGGCGATAGACGTAAGGTAACGCGTTACATGTACATGGCGACATGGTGACGGAATAGATTAACAAGAGAAGCCACGCGCCGCTATACAACGGTCGGTAAACAACACGTGACAGCTGGTTTCCGCGGCAACAGATATGCACATAAGAAGAGAGGAACTGTTAGAAACTGTGTTTTCTATTGGGTCCGTCGGGAGGCCGGACACGCTAGACACACTTGTAATTACAATTCATTAGAGTTCAGAAAATCCAATTACCAATTCAAACTCCCTACCTAGTCACTAATACGTGAAAATATTAAACAATATAAAAACAAAAATAGAACATTGAGGAATACTAGATAGCTCATAGTGAGTGAACTTAATAATTCAATTCAATTCAATTCAATACAATTCTTATTTATTTACATACTAACTTATTAGTTCAACCCAATTACAAAGAGTATAAATAAAGATACAGAAACAAACGCTCAGACAAAACCACAATGTGACAGCGGAGAACAATTCCAGTTTGAAATAGATCAGTATACAACAATAATAATAATAATAATAATAATAATAATAATAATAATAATAATGGATTTGATTGATCTGGCTCAGGATAGGGACCAGTGGAGGGTTCTTGTGAACTCGGTAATGAAACCTCGGGTCCCATGAAATGCTGGGAAATTCTTGAGTAGCT